CATCCAGGGCTGCCATCTCCTCTGTGAGGTTTTTCACCTTTGACAAGTGGAAAGTAAATGTATATTAAAAATGTTGTTTACAATTTAATACTGTGTATCACAGCAGAATTCTTTCCAGAGTGACATCTTCTGCCTCATACCTTGTTTTCGGTGGCATGCTTCTCCTTCTCAACCTTGGCCAATGTTAACTCCAGGTCATCTATATCTTTCTTCAGCTCTGAGCATTCATCCTCCAGTTTCCTCTTCTTGGCTGTCAGCTCAGCATTAATTTCCTCCTCATCCTCAGCTCGTTCTGTCACCTCCTTAATTTTGGCTTCCAGCTGGATTTTGGTTTTGATGAGCTGGTCACACCTTTCCTCAGCATCAGCCAAGCTATCTGCTTCCTGAGGGGAAGACACATATTTTCTTCATTTATGTTCTGAAGTTTTCTATGTTTTAAAAGCAGGGCTGAAACTGACTATTACTCACACAACTGACTTATTTTGCCAAATTTGTTGTTTTTGTTTGTTTGTTTTTGAGAAGGGTGTACAGCTTTTCTCTGGAAACTATATTGATTCTGAATTTTTTTTCTCTCCTAAATACATCTGATGGATGAGGTAAGTGTGAGAAGTTCTCACACAGGAAATAAAGATGTTAAAGACTTTTTCTTCTTCAAAAATGCTTTATTGAATATATTTTCTTTTGTGATTTAATTGTGTAGAAAAAACTTTTTTGTAGGGAGTAATAGTTTTGGTAATCTAAGGAATAATTTAATGGAAAAAAAGGTGTCTCTATCAATTTATTAAGAATGCTCCTTCATTAAATGGGGTATAATTTATGCATATCTTCTACCTGTATATCATCTTCCCAAAGTTTGTCTGGAGTTTCATATGCAGATTTCAGCTGAACACTACATCCTCTTACTCTTGTGATATTGATGAATTTGCTCCTTTGATTTTGATATTAATGAATTTTCTTTTTCCCAAATACTCTTGAGAGGTAAATATCTTATAAGAAAATTTAATGAGATATTTATTTTTCTTCAAATACCAGGGAAAATAGATAAAACAGTTTTCCTATTTTTCTATTGGAATGTTCAAATAACTGAATAATTAAGTACTGTGTACTGGTTTTAGCTGTTAATTTTTCTAATCTATGCTGATTATTATAGTGATTCTTGAATGCTAAATATGTTTATGCTTATTTTTAATCAGTGTTTTGTTTTGTGAAGTGCTGTGTCTCTACGGGGTTCTTAGAGCACTGTTTACAATAAGCTATCATACACTGCAAACCAGAAAAAAAAAAAAAGGAAAAAAAAAAAAAGAGATGCAAAAAATTTCAGTGTTCAAAAAATCTTTAAAAATATAAATGTTTTTTCATTATAATTTGACCTTGATTCATCAAGGTCAATGTGTTTAAAACACATAGAGCACTATTATGTAATTAACAGCAGTGGAAAGAAAAAGACCTACAGATGGTGTGACTGTTTCTCAGAAACATGAACTCGGTGTCTGTATCTTCTCAAACTAAGTGGAAATTAGAAGATGTATTTCCCAATTTCTGAGTGAATGATTAGTCTATAGTAAATAAGAAAAGGGTGGATGGCTTCCCCTGAACACTAGTTTCAACTCTGGCTTGCATTTACAATCCAGAAGGAATTATATGTTATACATCCTGGTGCTCTAAAGATAGCCTCTGTAGAATTCACCTGCTCAGAGGGTGTCTAAGGTTTAGGCAGAACTCTACTCTGAGTATTTCATGTTTACTAGCTGTAGATAACTTCTTTAGCTGAAAGCAAAAGCAGTGACTTCATGTTCACTTATTCCTTGTACGGGCATTCAAGAGAGCTTATCATGAGGAAACACCTGTTTCCTAAACAGTGCATATGTATGATTGATAAATCTCCAAATTCCTGACTTGTGGTCTTCTGTAATCTGACCGTCTGTTCGAGGAAGAAAAATCTGAACACACAAACTTATTTTCTCTGTGATAAGTGAATGATAAACTCACAGCCTGCACTTGGAGCTGCAGATCATTTTTCTCCTGCAGCAGGGACACCATTTTCTCCTCCAGCTCCTTCCTCTTTGCCTCAGACTTTGCAAGCTCTTCCTTGGTCTTCTCAAACTCTTCCTTCATGTTGGCCATCTCCTTCTCAGACTCTGCACTCTTCAGCAAGGGCTTGATCTTGAAGAACAGCTTCATCCAGGGCCAGTGCTTGACATTCATGAATGCACGAACATTGTACTGGATGCAGAAGATGGACTCTCTGAAGCATAATTAAAACGTACATTTGATTATTTTGTATGATATGATCACTAGGACTTTCCCCAAAGTACAGTGCCTGTAAGTGAAGATGGGAGACACCTACCTCCTCTCCACCATTCTCTGGTACTCCACTCTCATCAGGAAGCCCCTGCACCTGGCCTGTGTGCGAGTGATGAGCTGTGCCAGCTTCTCATCCCTCATCTCCTCCAGGAGTCCCAGCAGCCCAGCTTTGAAGAACACCTGAAAAAAGGGAACGTTGCAGTGCATCACTGTCAGATAGAACAAAACACAGATACAGGGACTGAGTTGAGGAGAGTTGGTACCTTGGTGTGACCAAATTTGTACTGGGTGTGGTCCACATCAATAGATGAAAGGAGTTTCTCAGAAGCTTTCTTGCTATCAATGAACTGTCCCTCGGGGATGGCACTGGCATTAAGCACCTTGTATCTGCAGTCAAAAACAGATTAGGATGTATTCAACAAGCAAACCACTGCTTGTATTGAATGCCTTGATATTTTGTGGGAGAAATGATAGTTTTATAGGAACTGTTTTCATGCTAATGAATTCTGTCATTTGTATGAAACAGATGTGTGCAGAACCTCAATACTACTGAAGCTGATATTTATGGAAATAGGTCCATAGCATTAGTATCTTTTTTGAAAAGAATAAAGAAATTCTATGCAGTACATAGAGTAGGAAATAGAGTGGGTTCAATCAGTTGTACAGGGTGCTCAGCATAGCTAAAATCAGTAAGGAGAGAAAGCCTTTTACCTCTGTTTAAAGTCTGCATAGAGGACTCTGCTGGGGAAGCCTTTCCTGCAAATCCTGATCCCTTCCAGCACGCCATTACAGCGCAGCTGGTGCAGCACCAGTTCATGCTCCATGGCACCTAACAATTCATTGCATAAATGAATGCCAGTTATCTACAAAGAGGGAATGGTTGTAGAAGAGGAAAATCTCTTTTTTCTTAAGCTTCTTACCGGGTGTTTTTGTTTCATTTGGGATGATGCAGCGGACAAAATGGGGGTGAGTGCTCCGTAGATTGGTCATCAGCTTGTTTAAGTTCTCCTAGAGGTGTCAGTAAGTAATGTCATTTTTGTCTAGTGTCTGATACATCAAGCTTATGGGAATGACTTTTGAGACTTGAATTAGCTATGCTTCCAAACATTCCGCTAAAGCCACAAAACCCAAACATTTATTCCATTTATAGATAATTAATGTCATTACTAAATTCTGATATACTGCTATAGTGCTGTTAATCCAGTGGAAACTATTAGAGAGTTTCTCACTTCCACACAAAGTAATGAAGCTTTTTTGTGTTCTACCTACTAAAGTTAATCTGTTTGAGTAAAAATCATTTTTATTCTGTTTTTAAATAAGTTAAATACATTCTTGGAAAATGTTTCTAAGGAGACTCTGAATTCACCATAATACAAGCCTCATAGAAATGCAGGTATGCTAAAATTACAGCTGAAGTCTGACCCAAAGACTTAAAAAACTAGTACAATCTTCTCAAAACAAACAAACTAAAATAAGATTCAATTTTCTTAATCACTGAAGCCTAAACGTTTGATTTTGAACAATACATATTAGCAATATCAAAATTAATCTTGAAAAAAAACCAGTAACGAGAATAATCTTATCAACTTCACAGTAATACAAAAGTAGCACCTTAATATTTAATATTGCTTTTACCCTTTCTCCATGTTACAAAGAGATAAGGAATACAGTACTGTACCCGGAAAAGAGCTGAAACGGTTTGGAAAGAAGAACCCTTCTTCTTGCCACCCTTTTTGCCTCCACCAGCCTCTGCAGATGATAAAAATGAAGAGTACTAAATATGGATTCTGCATATAGGAGAGTGTAGAACACCAAATAACATTAAACATTTAGTGTTCCCTGCTCTAATTAACTTTGAACATTTATGAAAGGATAGAATTTACAGAACTGACCTGCATCTGCTCCACCATAGGTGGCAAACAGTAAGGCCAGTGTCTTCACAGATGACTTCTGGTACAACCCAATGACAGTTTCATTCAAGGGATCCTTGTTCTTCTCAAGCCAGCCAGTGATATTGTAGTCCACTGTGCCAGCATAGTGCACCAGGGAGAAGTGGGCCTCAGCCTTGCCTTTGGCAGGCTTGGGCTTCTGGAAGTTGCTGGACTTGCCCAGATGCTGGTCATAGAGCTTGTTCTTGAAAGAGGTGTCAGTTGCCTTGGGGAACATGCACTCCTCTTCCAGGATGGAGAAGATGCCCATGGGCTGGGAGATATCACAACAGATAGGACAGAGAAACAGATAAAAAAAAAAGAGGCATCTTTTGATTAAAAAGAAGGTAGAATCAAAAGAGAAAATGTTTCTGTGTATTTCACTATCATTTGACAGAGAAAATTAACTGAAGCTCATCTTTTTTGCTAATGGAAATATACCTTCTCAATGAGCTCAATGCAGGCAGCCAGGTCCATCCCAAAGTCAATGAATGTCCATTCAATGCCTTCCTTCTTGTACTCCTCTTGCTCCAGCACAAACATGTGGTGGTTGAAAAACTGTTGCAGTTTCTCATTGGTGAAGTTGATGCACAGCTGCTCAAAGCTGTTGAACTGCCGAAAGTAAAAAGAGTCGCAAAAAATGTTTGCAAGGTTCAAGAATAATAGCAAGATTTTTTGCTGTGTAATCCCAGTTCTTCTTCATGGATTATAGTTTAAGGCCTCTTCCTCTTTTTTTTTTTCTTTTTTTTTCTTTTTTTCTTTTTTTTTCTGTGGTTAAGGAAAAGGCAATTCCAAGCAAAAAGTCTCAGAATTCTCTTTATTCTCAATCGCCATTTTAAGAAACTACTAGGAAAACTGTGCTACTTACATCAAAGATCTCAAAGCCAGCGATGTCCAGAACACCAATGAAGTACTGCCTGGGCTGCTTGGTATCCAGCTGTTGGTTGATGCGAAGAACCATCCACAAGAACATCTTCTCATAGACAGCCTTTGCCAGAGCACCAACTGAGTTGTGCACCTGATGCATGGAGAAAGGGTTTGGAGTACGGAGCAGAGGAGAATCAAAGAGGTCTTAATGCAAAGCATGGTTTGAGGTTAATGTGTTTCTTACCTGCTGCACAGTTTGACCTTTGGTCACATACTCATTCCCAACTTTGACTCGAGGGTAACACAAAGCTTTGAGCAGGTCCGCTGAGTTCAGACCCATCAGGTAGGCAGCCTTGTCTGCAACTAAGCACCAAGAAAGAGTGAGAAGAGAATTAAATGTTGGATGGTGCCTTAAGTTTGGTCCTTAGAGACTGTCCCAAAAATAACAGCCATGTTCACTGTTAAAAATTTGCAAAGAAAGTATTTGAGTCAAAGCTACAAAGCTAATGTGTCTGTTCTCTATAGGACGCAAAGTCCTTTCTAAGCTTTGGTTTCTACAAATGTTATTAAGGAGAACTTACTGCTTTTATCATTTTTCAGACATGACTATGATACTTCACACTATCTATTCCTATAGCAAGTGAGTCTTGATTCAGAGAACTGGAGGTGTGGACTTTAGGTCCTTCTGTACAGGAGAAGAATCAAATATGCATCTCACATATGTGTTCATTCCCAACAGGTAAGGGTGAATAGGTGTTAGAGCCATTAGAACTACAGCACTTCATTACCCCAAAATATAAATCTATCCTAACAAATGTATGACCAGTAACATTATGGCAGCAGGAGCCGATGGTTCCTGAATTCCTGCCAATGCACACCAGATTTTTATTTAATAAGTAGTCATAGAATTAAAACAGAAATATGATAGGTGAGGTAGGCGTATCAAAAATTACATACATACAAAAATTACATTACAAATTTCTGAAATCTTCCTGAGGCTCTCTTTTAGTGACAAATACCGTATCCTTTGCAGAGTTTTTTCAGTTAGCTGATACCTTCTGTGCCATCTGGCTCTGCCTGCTCCTCTCGCTGTTTCTGCTTGAACTTCAAATTCCCATAGTGCATGACAGCCCCTGTCAGCTTGTAGATGGCAGTCTTTTCATCAGCAGTGAAGCCCAGGATGTCAATGGCACTCTGGTGACAGACTCAGTAAAATAAATAAATCTGTACCAGAGCCGCTGTCCATAAAATTACCCGTTTTGTATGTTACTCACATCTGTAGCCATAAGCTCTTCTTGGTCATCAATGCTGGGAACAGTAATCTCACCTTGACTCACATAATGGTAATCATATGGGTTGGTGGTAATAAGGAGCATGTCTGAAAGCAGGGATAGAAA